TTATTTATAGTGCATTGAATGTATAATCTGATCATCTTTTCGCCCCTAGCTGGTCCTGGAAGTACTCACTCCGTTTGATATCCTCCTCTTCTGCTAAAGATTGAGCAATGTTCAGCTTGGCGATTTCGGCCGAGAATGTGATTCCAACGACTCCCCACGATACAAGATACCAGATCTTGTACGGCGTCTTGAAGAACTTTTGGTTCTGGCCATGGTTATACCTGTAACTGAAATAGTAGCCGGAAAGAAGCCCCACAAGAACTCCTTTTAGTAGTCCAATTGAGCCCGCTTGGAGAAGCTGGGAGTTGATCTGCTCCATGCGTTCCCTACTCACTGATGACCTTGGCATACTTGTTTCATATGGAAGGCAAATCAACGAAAAATAGCTCACTGAGTTCGAGTTGCGAATCGGACTTTAGTTGATAGTGCGGAAGTGCGACCTCAGATCGCGTGGGGTACCATCCTTTAAACTACTCCTTAATATTTATGCCATTAGTCAGTTTCTATTATCTATAAAGTTATCCTTGATAGCTGTATCATAAAATCATTAACATATGCCGGGGAGTTTATACCTCGATGCACACGCCGCCTAGATTAAGCAGACGGAGCTTGGGGGCACGCTGTGCCATAATTTTGGAGAGCTGCGCAAGGCAAGAGTGCTCGAGCAAAGACGAGAACTTCTTGGTCTCTTCATTCTCTTCGAGAGGCACTTCGTTCATGTTCAACATGGAGCCAACAGAGTGAAGGTTTCTCTCGACGCAGTGTTCTTGTCTTCTGAATTGGCCTGCAACAAATTGCAAAAACTTCCGGTTTGCGACTTCGGTAAAGTCAACACTCGTAGTAACCTCCGAGGGTGTGATCCGCACATCCGAAGGCTTGCCCTTGTGACTGTAGTTGTTAGACTTGTCCAAGCGAGCAAGTTCCACAAAGTAGGATCTCGTGTTGTTGCACTCGTCGCAATTGCACTGATTCACCAAGACGTCTTGACAAGGAATAGTGCGCATGTCGAGCAAGGCTGGCAACTGGCTGACCCATTCGTTCATAAAACTGGAAATGTGGATGTGTGTAAGATTTGGAGTGTGGTGGAGATTAGAAACCACCTTCTTCAAATCGATGCTGTACTCATCGTTCGTGGACTTGACTGAGTCGGAAAGATTCAAGTAGACATCCTCCAATGATGAGAACAAGTCGCTAAAGACGTAATTCTCAACAACGTGCTTGAATTGAGTGGTGTCGGCCAAGCACTTGTAGTGAACAATGGCCAACTTCTTCAAGTTTGTTCTTAACCCATGAAACTGGTTGTATTGTCTCCAGTTTTCAAAGAAGTTGAGAATGCAGCTGTTAGAGCACTCATGCAGACGAGTGCAATTCATCTTCAATTCGAGCTCCTCGAGGTTGTTAAGGTCGACATAGCGTCTCATGGTCTGGAAGTGCGTCATGCAATCATTGCGGGCACGGTGGGAAGTGGAAATAGAGAGAACCTTCAACTTCAAGTCATTAACACCAAGGTGGTCGGCCATTTCGGTGAAACGGAGGAAGGCCAATGGGGAATGCAAATAGAGTCTGCTCAAACTGCGCAAGTTTTGAGTTGGCGCTTCGTATGAGCCGTAGAACACACTCTGAACATTCTCGCTATTCTGAAGATAGGCATTACTCTCAACGTACATGTTGAGCTGCTCCAACCTTGGATTCGTGGGCAAGGCGAGGAATTCACTCGTGTTGAACACAAACCAGTTCAGAAGATTAAGCACCTTGTGGTCTTTTCTTGTTACCTCACATCTGTCCTCATCCTCAACATCAATAAATTGCACCGAGTTTGAGGCCAAGAAGTTGGTGAACGAACGAACACAACGCAAACTCAACACGTCGTGGTTGTTCATGCAAATAGTGTGTGGTTGCTGGCTCCAAAAGGCGGCCATTCTATCATATAAATAAAGCAAGCTGCTGTCGTTGTCGTTTCCATGAGTGTTCACAACGAATTTGCGCACAAAGCGGAAAGTGGTTGGTGTGAGACAGTTGGCAAACTGCTGCAACTTGTCAGCGGACAATAAAGTCCACTCGCTGGAGTTGTCGTACTTGCCACAGCTCCAGTTGCGATCGGACTCAACCACCATAATGTTCTTGTAGAGGGACCCACAGACCCGGTAGCGAAAGTAAGGGGTCATGTGTGCTAGGGTGAGCCGCAGATCATGGTCGCAGCAGTCCAAGATGGTGTCTAGGACGTTATTGGGGAGATCGGTTAACCTCATGATGGGTTGGGGGGGTTTGAGAAGCGGAAAGACTCAATGAAAAAACTGTGGGACAGGGATCGTTTATATACTGCCTGAACCCTTTTTTGCAGCAGCGCAAGTCTGGCCTCTGCAGTGACCATAATAATAGCTTGGAGCGCTAAGAAAACAATGCACCGGTTGCTTGTGTGCAGTATCAAATACAGATTGCCTCACAGCCGGTGTCTAGAAGAGCCTTCCTCTCCACACTGAGTCAAAACTGCGGCGCGATGGCCTCGGAGGTACACCTCCTTTATATGCTAGCCCCTAACCAGACGAGCAAGCGAGGTCCAACTTGCTGCAAATTAAGTAGATCTGACAAAATCTGGGAAACACTTTCCTAAAATTCAAATGACAACCGCACATTCAAGGCGGGTCTCGGGTGCTGGCTTTTCTCCACCTTCCTCAGCTAAGTCATTAATTATGCCTCGCCTGAGCGCGGCACATCGGAAATCTGGGGTTCGGGCTATAGGAGCACAAGCGTGCGACCCTGTGCAGCAGGAAAAGGCGACCCACAGGCATGGAAATTCTCGAATGTGCCACACCTTAAGGGATCTTCGGACTAGGGGCAAGGCGGCGCGTGGCGGTAGAGGTTGGTATTTGCCGCGTTTTAGGAAGTGGCCCAAAGGGATGCCGTCAGTCCGGCTTGGTGCCCTTTTGGCACAGATGCAAACAGCTGTGGAGGGACCCAACTTGTAATTTTCTGGGAAGCGCTTTGTCAAAAAATTGGGCGGGACTGCGCTGGACACGAGAGCCGTGCCATTTTTATTTTATGGTACTTCTTTTTTTTTTTTCTTTTTCTCTCCTTCTTGATTTCTTTGAAAGCGTAAAGCTCCGAATAATCCGTAGTTTTGGCCTAGACAACTGACCTTGGTCAGGTTTAGCTCATCCATTTGTCCGCATAATTGAGGCGTCCCTCTGAGCCGTTGCCATACCTCACAAACGAAATCGCGGCTACCGCAGGAAAAACTGCCGTCTTGCTAAGCGAAACCACACGGAGTCGCGGAAAGAGCTTGCCCTTGAGCAAATTCTGGTCGATCAATGTGACTAAGCAATTTTCAATCACAAAGTCGTTGATCTCGTCGGCGGGATTTTCTGCAAGGACTCGCTGGCCGAAGCAATTGATGGCATGGAGAGGCGTTCCTGCGAGGGAAGCATCGAGGGCACATCTGATGCTATCGTAGTCTAGCTTGGCCTGCCCTCCCTGAATTGACCACACTTTCCTCAACAAGTTGCGAAGAATGAGAAGGGGTGCTTTTTCTGCAAAGAGAAGCAAGAGCTGATGCTCCTTGAGCATTTTGTAGTTCTTTGGGTCGTTGAGTACTCTTGAGAAAGTGTCAAAGTCTCCCACTTGTATGGCTCGTGCGAGATCTTCAAAGGTTTCTAAAAACGCCGGCGACGATTCTCGTGAAGAATAAAATGTGGTGTAGATGTTGTTGAAATTGGGCTTTTTGCCGATGATGATTCCAAGCGGGATCATCTGGCGCAAGATTCTGGTGACGTTGGCATTGTCCTTGATGTAGTTGGCGGGAGTGTTTTGCAAGCACCACTGGAAGTGTTGGTAAGCGTCAACAAATTGGTACTTTACCATGTAAAAACGTGCTAGGTAGTACCTGTACTGGATTTGCTGGTTTTTCGGGAAGTCGCTTAGCCTCAAGTTGGCATTGTTCATGTTAGAAAAGACGTTTCGGCAAAGAAGAGGGTTTTCCAACTTGAAATACGTCAGACAAAGTCGAACACCAATCAACAACATGATGGACTTTTTGGCGGCCTCGATATGATCTCCAGCGCCCAATTGCGATCTGATATTGTTAAACATCTTCAACAATATAGACGCCAAATACACTAGACGTGGTTTTCTGCTGCTCTCCACGAGTATAAGCTGCATGTCTAGCTGTGTTGCCATCGGTATCACAAAGTCAATTGTGTCTTGAATGAGTGGAGTCAATAAGTAGCCATGAGACTTGTTGGTGAAGGCTACTGATAAGTCGTTGATGTATGCAGCGTAAAGGTCGAAGGATTCCAGCATTGAGTAGGGATTGAGCTGATTGGAGAGCCGGATAAAGCTTGAGACAATCTCTTGGAAAGCCATCCATTCATCGTTGTAGAATTTTCTTCTCTCAACTTCCTCCTGCAACTGTGCATCATCGATGCTACCAATGTTGTAAAGCTTGACTATCCAGGGATTAAGCGATGGATGAAGTCGCAATAGATGAAGTAGTTCGTGGGCTTGTTGTTTGGATTGTTTCTTAGTGGCCGCCTGTAGCTGTTGTAGGAAATCACTGGTCACGTTCATTTTGCAATATGTTGTATGATGGTGATTTTCATTCGCGACCTTACATTTTGTGGTAGCCTACCGATAGCGAAGACAGAATATAGCTCACACAAGCGAAATCTAGATTTTAAAGGGAGCTCAAACTACGTTGATTTGTATAACTCTCTTCACAAAGCAATCGTTTCAGTTCAATGGCGGGATTCCCTGTCGTTCTAAGCACAGTAAATATCTAAACGCTACACCACTGTAACACGGGGTTATAACCTCTTTTTTGTCACTATTCATATCGTTGTGATATGCAAAAATGTAAATATGGGTTTTCTGAAAATTCTTTATGTTCCTCGATTTTTTATCACAATTCTTATTTTATCTGTGATAAGGACCTCACAGTGAATAAATGCGAAAGTGCGATCATATCGTAGATATCTTGTAATTCTTCAAAAGTTACATACTAAACCATGCTGACGGCCACGAAGCCTACAGCCCCAAAATTTGCATTTAAGAAGAAGAAGAAAGTGAAGGATGACCCACAGCCTTTAATCAAATACGATGATCCAGATTTGAAGGTCGTGATTCGACTCCTTCCTCCTAACTTAACAGAGGAAGCTTTCCTTCGACAAATACCATTTGGTAATGAAAAATCGCCATTGGAGATAACTGGCCTCTCAAGGTTCTTTTACCAAACTGGTAGCCCGTCCTTGAAGCCTTTCGAAGAGCCCAGCTTCTCACGAGCTTACTTCCTCTTCCAAAACAAGGAAGCAGCAAATGCCTTCAGAACTAAAATGCAACATGTGGTTATCGAGGACTCTGACTCAGGCGATCAAGTTAAATGTGAGATGATGAAACCAATCTTTGGTGAAGTTATCGAAACTTCTCAAAAGCCTGGCCTAGGGAAGATCGAACAGGAACCGTTATTCAAGAAGTTCACTGCTTTACGTGCCGCCTCAACGGAAGTGGATTTGATTAAAATGATACGAGCTGTTCACTCTGAAGAGAATAGAAAGAGACGAGAAAAGAACAAAAAGAAGAAAGCAGCAGCCGCTGTCGTCAATGCTGAGAAGGACAAAACCGTACAAAGCGAGACTCCAACTGCCCCTGCTATAAACGAACCAAAGCCACAACCCGCATCAGACAACAAGCCGGGAAGCAGCAACGAAGGCAAGAAGGACAAGAAGAAGCCATCAAAGAAATCCGACAAGATCAATGACCAGAAAAAGAAGGAAACGATACCTCCCAAAAAGAGCGCTTCTACGAATGGTCCGAAACCTCAAGCTCAGCCAAAGAAGACCACGGAAGGGAAGAAACCGGGTGCTGAGCCTTCAAAGCCAAAAAGCAAAGAGAACAAACCCCACAAATCCAAGAAAGCTGGTCCAAAACACGACAACTCTGGTACTAATACGGCTCAGCGGGCTGCAACGGAAGAGAAAAAAGTCACAAAAGCTACGAAAGCTGCCAAGAAGAGCAGCTGAATATCGAGCCCCTAGAATTGACCTCGAATTTCATCTTAATTTAAATAGAAAGGGCTTCCAGTGGATTAGTACTTATGCGCGCATTTGTAGTGCAACTCATCCAGCTATCGCCTATAGAAGAGTAGCTCATGATGATGCGCTCTCTAGGGTTGAGATCCCTACGATGTCCTAAGAAGTCTTTCTTTTACTTCAAAAGGCTCACGAATAGCAAGAACAATGTGAAGTTTGCGGAGCAGATGGAGCTTTTCGATACATCTATACCCACCATGGAGAAGATTCTTACCATCCTCCAACATGCTGAAAACAATAAGGAGCAATCAGCGGTGCCAGAAAACAAAGATCCAGTCACACAGCCCGAAGAGACGTCCCTTTCACAAACGAAATTTCACTCAATGCTAGGACTCAAAGTGTTGGATTACAACTTGATTCGAATCCTCAACGATGCAGAGGTGGTCGAAAAATACAAATCTTTCATCAACGTTTCACCCGAATCGTGTGAGGTGATTCTTAATCATCACGCAGAGACACTTCGAGAGAGTCTTCTTTGGCTGAGCGATGCCTCAGTTCTATCTAAACTCGGCGAATCATTCAGAAAGGATCCTGTGAGAATGTCAAACGAGCTACGGCCCAAGTTGAGAGAGATTGCAGCACAGTCGCTCGTTGATTTCGAGAAAGTTGAACGAAAACCCAAGTTCACTTACGACATTCCGGAGATACGATTGCCTAATCCTTTTCGAGGATCAATTGACCATCCAACGATAATTCGCAAAGGGCTAAGTCTTAAAAAAAGACCTCTGAATCTTCTTTGCTTCTTGATTGATAATAAAAGCTTCCTCGAGAGTTTCTTCGGTAAACTTCGAAGCGGAATTCTGCCTGTTCTACTATTGAACGTCATGAAGTGTCAGTCTTTGGAGGGGAGCCGAGCCTTCAAGATACTCTTGGTGAAACATCTAAAAAGCCCAGAAAGCAAGCATTTCAGAACGAACCCAATTGACTCGTTTGGAAAAGCCTCCGTCGATGACTTGGAAGGCGAGATGACAGTCCTTAAAGCTATTGTCGCCCACAAAAGTAAGTTACTAACACGCCTCGACTCTTTTGGCATTTACAAAGACAGCTTGGCAGAAGTCAACTCAACCTCATTAAGAAGCTCAGAAGACATTGTGAGAATCCTAGCAGGCTCTTTCGATCGTTACTTTGGTGCATGCTATAGGCTCGATGCGAAAGGCTGTGACGAGTGGGTTGAGCGCCTTCTTACTTTCTACAAGGAGAGTTCGAGCGAGATGCAATTAATTGAGGAGCTCTATCTAGAGAGCATTAATGGTTTTAGGGACCAGATATCGCAAGCTACGTTGAGAAAGCTTCTGACAACGTGGACCCTGACAAAGCACAAACAGCAGAAGAGCTCAAAGAAGGCTAGACCTCAAACTTTGAGATCTTCTTGATGTATAATACCATGCATGACATGGGGTCTCAAATTAGCGAGGTCCCCATTAGAGATGTCGGAACGTAGGTGAAAGTCCGTTTCCCGTAGGCTCGAGAAATTAATTATACCACCATCGATCGCAGCAATGATGATAGACCGCCCACTGGAGCCATTCTTGAGTTTTTGATCGCGAACTCGGTTATACTCCTGTTTAGCAAGAGTCTTTGGGTCCATCTTCCTCCTTCGCTCTGCCGCTTTTTCAGCCCTCATCTCTTTCTTCGAAACTGGCACAGCCTTGTTGGTCTTAGCAGGCTTTATGTCCTTCGCAGGCGGAGCTGAAGTGTCTTTCATACAAGACGTTTGCCAAAGACTCGTGATGTCGACGAGAGAAGGGAACCCCTCTTCCAAGGTGTTCACGACACATACCTGATAATCAGGACTCGTAGCGGTCTTCTTGCTGAAATTGCCAGTCGGCTTCCAAACGTCGAAGTGCAATGCATATTTAGGGTTCTTTTTGCTAGTATCGATGTCGTCAAAGTCCAGCCGAGCTGATATATATTGGAGTTGTGAGAACATGTCGGTATAGCTTAGGAAGTGCAGCGATCTAATGCTTTCACGTGAAGTTTGTGATCTGAACCAATACCCAATGGAAGTGATCGTTCTTTGAAAAAATGCTAGTAAAGGATGCTCGTTATTCTGGCACTGGACGAGATCAGGCCATTTGCTTGACTGGAATGGTCGTATTAGATAGCCCAAACGCTTCAAAAGGGCGTAAACCTGGTACTTATCATGCATGTCAGGCGAGTCTCCAAATGCTAGACTATACAAATGACTCAATGAAATTTGCTTAAGGGTTGAATAGTCGAAGACTTGCTCGTCTGAGGCTAAGAATGTCTCGAATCTGGTGCTAGGTAAATAAAGAATAAGAGAGCCTCGCTCGACCAAATATACCGTTTCAATTGCCAGAAGCCAACATCCTTGGAGTTTGGGTTTGTTGAGGAAGGGATGGGGGTTGCCCATGTCTCTGAAGAAGTTACCCTTGGCATGAGGCACCAAACACTGCTTTTTAGCATGCATCCACACACCAACCAATTTTTGCTTTTCATGGTGTCCTCGTATGTGGTCGAGAGCATTGAACATTTGTTTACGAGCTTCAGATAAAGCTGAGCTCTGAACGCCCGTGTGATCGATGTCGAAATCCTTCTCTGATCTCCTTGGAATTGTCTCATCGGCTAGATTTAGCGAAGCAAATCGTTTATTTAATCCACCCCAATCAGGAAGCTCTTCAGGGAGCTCCTCCGTTATTTGGGTCAAAGCAGTTTCATCTTCATCCATGGCTGATGAGACCTTAAGGTGGTTGCGAAATGCGACATAGTATTAGTTGATCTGACAAAACGCGACCATCTGATCTTCAACCACTCTTTGCTCCAACCTAACCGAAACAGCTAATGAACAAACGCTGGGATGACGTCGTCCACATTGACTATTGATACTTTGGTACGTACTCGTATTGCAGTGCTATTGCGGCAAATGTTCTAACTCCAGGCGGAACTGCTATACGAAGACATGATCACGAACCTTATCAGACAAGCTTCGCTAAACAGCATTTCTCGATATAGAACCTTGCAGCAGTCCGTGGAAGGGAAGTATAACGATCCTCTTCCTCAAGCCAAAGCCTCGGCAAATAAAGACATATTCGGGAATGATAAAGCAAAGCTAAAGAACTCAGAGACTTCAAGATATTTTGACTGTGGTAATTGCGGCCGCCAAATAGCAGGCGGACGTTTTGCTCAGCATATCAATAAGTGTTTAGACAGGGGCAAGAGATAGATGTACAAGTGTTTGGGCACCATAAATGCCAATGTTCAAGAGGAGTCGACTTCGCTGAATGCGGAAAATGAAAGTTGAAGTGCTCAAGGGCATCGCCGAATCAATAGGGGCTTTAGACTCGGAATTTAGACTTCCATCTTCAAAAGACGCTTGCGGAGACAAGAAGCGCGGATGTGACCCGCTCACGTTTAACCCCAATGCGTTCTCAGTCCCCCGCTATAACTTCAACGGTTTCATAATCTTTTCCGAGGAAAAAGAATTGTGGAGATTTACCGTGGATAACACTCCTTGGGGAATGAGGAGTCTTGGGAGTGCCTGTACATGTCGTTGTGTGTAGAGAAGGTTTGTCGGAGTTCAGCCAATGGGTCAAGCGGCACCGACAGCCAAGATATCATGAGGGTGAGAGCCGCCCCTCAATAGTGTTCCCCTTATCATTTATATGGGATTAGTGTGGGGCAGGCTTATAGTAAGGGCTCTGCGCTCTCGATATGCGGGGTATTATGCATCACTATCTAGACACATTGCGCCAAACTTCAAGTTTTGCCTATTTAATAGATCACAGGTCCTCAATTCCCCTAGCAAACCTTTTGAAACATGCCCTACCTTTTCGAGGACAAGATTGAAGACCTTCCATTGGACCTTGAGCTAGGCTCCAGGATGGTGCCTGCGGGCAAGGATGGAGACGACATAGTTTACAGAAACCGTGCATTGCCTGAGAAGCTCATTGAAGGTTTGCATCCTTCGCTCAAGACCTACGATGATATGTTCAATAGAGCGGTCAGACTACATGGTCAAAAGCCATGCCTCAGTTACAGGCCTTATAACTACGCGCGTGCCAGATCGGAGCCCTTCTTCAAATCGTTATCATATTCCGAGGTACACAGACGAAGACTCGCAATTGGCTCTGGAATCTTAGCTTGCTTGAAATTGGCTGTCCCAGAAGAAGTTGATAGACATGTCAGAGACTACAAAAAGTACGACATCGACAACTATTCCCCAATGGTCTCAATATACCTGGCAAACAGGCACGAATGGTTGTTAACGGACTTGGCATGTCACGCTTTCTCATTCACCAACACCGCTTGTTACGACAATCTTGGTGATGATGTGACATCCCACATCTTGACTATCACTGGCTCCCCAATCATCTTCTGTCTGGGTGATAAGGTCGAGAAATTGGGCAAGTTTAGTGAGGCAAAAGACTTTCCAGTCAAAGTCGTGGTTTCTTTCGATCCGGTATCGCCTGTTAGGAGAAGCAAGTTGATGGAGACCGGTATTCAGGTTTACGAGTTCAGTGAGTTGGAGGCAATTGGCTCCCGAGCTCAGTACCAACCGATGCCCCCACATCCTGAGACTCTTTACACCATCAGTTTCACTTCAGGTACTACTGGGGCGATGCCAAAAGGCGTCATGTTGAATCACAAGGCATCAGTGTGCGCGATGTGCTATTTGATGGCTGGTCAACCACTTGTTGAAGAAGGCAAAACTTTTGCATTCTTACCGTTGACTCATCTTTATGAAAGGGAAACAAGCGCCTACGCATTGGTTCGAGGGTATAACATTGGTCTTCCAGACATCGCATACGAGGGAACACCTTACAATGCCTTTGAAACCTTGCTCGAAGATTTGAAGCTCTTCAAGCCCCACTACATATCGCTCGTTCCAAGAATATTAACTCGAATTGAGTCTTTGATCAAATCTCATGTCTCCAAGTTACCTACGAAGGAGGTAGTGGAAGATGTCATCAATAAGAAGATTGCTCAACAAAGCACAGCAGACTTCTGCAAGGGAGATGATTTTGGCTTGCAAGCCTGGAAGGATTTACGGAAACTCATTGGTTTTGATAACTTGCTTTGGATCCAAGTGGCATCTGCACCGACAAACAAGTACACACTTCAGTACTTAAAAGGTTCCCTTGACATTGGTGTCTCTCAGATGTATGGCCTTACGGAAACTTTTGGAGCCATGACGCAAAGTTTGATCTATGAGGCCGAGCCTGGATCATGCGGTGTGGGTGGCCTTTCCGTGGAGTATAAACTTCAGGATCGTACTGAGATGGGCTATCACGTTAAAGAAAATAAAGGAGAGCTTCTAGTTCGTGGCCCTCAGGTCTTCGAAAGATATTTCAAAAACCCTGAGGCAACTGCCAAGGATATCGATAAAAAGGGCTGGTTCTCCACTGGTGATGTGGTCGAGTTGAGGAGTGGAAGACTCTATGTGATTGACAGAGTCAAAAACTTCTTCAAGCTTGCACATGGCGAATACATATCACCAGAGAAGATTGAGAATTTGTATTTGTCAAAGAATCCTTTCATCACGCAAGTTTACGTTCATGGTCACCCATCTAGGGACTACACTATTGCTATAGTGGGGATAAATGAACCGTTTGGACACGAATTTGTTAAGCGTGCCGGACTCAACGCTCTTGAAATGATAACTGAGATAAACAAGCCCACTCACAAACAAAAGCTCTTGGCCTTGATGAACAAAAATGTTGCCAACTTCACCAACGGTATCGAAAGAGCACGGAACGTATTCTTTGATATCAATCCGTTAACAGTGGAGCGCAATGTGGTTACACCAACAATGAAATTGAAGAGAGCTTTAGCCTCCAAATTTTTTGATGATGTGATCACATCCCTTTACAACGAAGGTCCACTTGATTCTGCAAGTAAATTATAATAGTATAATATACCGCGCTATCAATAGTTTCTAGAAGCGGCTACCCCAAAAAATGCCGTGCAGCGTGACACAGCTCACGTGCCGCACAAAGAGTCACCTCTATATGCCTGTTCCAACATCAAGTTACTCTATTCCGCTCAGCAATTAGAATACATTTAGCATGGCTCCTCCGCCGCCAATAGTCATAGATGCTCAAGCCATCTCAGGAATTACAGGATCTATATCCATAGCATGCTGGATCATCGTTTTTGCTCCCCAAATTTACGAAAATTTTCGAAGAAAGTCATCGGAAGGTCTTTCCATGATGTTCATCATCCTATGGTTGGCGGGAGATATCTTCAACGTACTTGGAGCTGTACTTCAAGGCGTTCTCCCCACAATGATTATTCTTGCTATCTATTACACCTTAGCGGACATTGTTTTATGGGTTCAGTGCATTATGTACGGTGATGGTAAGTCGAACCCCGATTACGTGCATTTATCGCCCGCTAACCCCATAAATGATGATGTTCTTGAAACTGTCTTATCAGGCGACAGAGCCCAAGATGTTGAGGAAACCGAATTTCAGTCCACAAGCGAAACTGATCACATTTCTTCTTTCCTGAACGTGAGTCCTCGCATGGCTGCCTTTTTCAAGTTTTTGATGGTCTTGCTTGTCTTTTTGGCTGGCCTTGCTGGCTGGTACATTTCCTACACCAACACTTCACGCAAGCATAAGACCCCTGTTGACCTTGTCTTTGATCCATTGGCTCAATTTTTCGGCTGGCTTTGTGCTTTCTTCTATCTTGGTTCACGTATACCTCAGATTTTGCTCAATTATGAACGTAAGTCATGCGAGGGAATTTCGTTTATGTTTTTCTTATTCGCATGCTTGGGCAATTTGACATACGTCATTTCCATTCTTGCCATAGATACTTCATGGAATTATGTGTGGGTCAATCTGTCGTGGTTAGCTGGTTCCCTTGGAACCTTGGCTCTCGATTTCACTATATTTATTCAGTTCTTCCTTTACAACGAAAGCAAGGATTATGACGAAGCAAGCACCGTGTCGAAGAATACCAATTCTGATCAATCAGAGGCACTTTTAGGGAATAGCCGTGAGCAGTACGGAGCAGTATGATGCTGGCTTCCTTGCTAAGAGGTAAATGGTAGATGTCTTGCTGTTTCGACTGCCACAAATTTGCGCCTCCAGGTTACAGTTCAACCCATGAGATACAAGCAGACTCTAAGAAAATTGCGATAGCTGTTGATAATCGGTCAATGCAGGTTAAGGAGCAAAAGACGCCTTTACGCAGAATTAAAATGCTTCCGAAGGGATCGAGGCTGTATTAATGGTATCGCGCTTTATAAGCGAGAAAGGAAGATCTCTATTGCACATCACTGCTGCCTTGAGAGATTCCAAAGGGATATCGCGAGGAAGAAGTACAGAAAATATAGGTAAGTCACCATGTAATTAATTGTCAGAAGACTACCACAGTAAAATCTCAAAATCTAGAGTCGGCTTTTCATTCCATGGAATCTATAAAGTGCAATGCCCAAAAAAATGAAAGCCTCGAGCTACCCCAGCCGCCCAGTGTGCACATTCGAGGCCAAATGAGGGGGAGGGGTCCATATAATTTTGTATCCCTAACTTCTCAAAAAACCAAAATATCTAGTTCGATAAAGCGTCCAGACAAGAAGAAAACTTAAGAATTGTAAAATGGAGGGAAACAATGACCGAGCTAGACCATGGTCGATGTAAATTGCTGCGGCTCGTGAGACTTCTTGCTGACCTATACGAGGCAAAGGAGTACCTGCAGTATTGAACCCCCACAATACTAGTCCGGTGCAATTGACGAAGCAACGTAAATTGTTATAGATTGAAACTGCTCAAAGTTCTTCCGCCAGATCTGCATGGCTATTTAATCAAAAGGCCATATGTCGACGTACGGCTTACTTGCATAAAAATACGAGTAACCATTTAGCCGAGAAGCATAAGTTAGGCGCCATCTATTTTCATTTATCGATCATCAGCTCCCGAAGAACATAAAAAGCCAGACATCCAAACCAATCACAGAAAAAAAAAAAAGACCCCTTAACCCAATAATCAAGCTAATGGCTGCATCAGGACCCGTTAAACGAAGAAAACGTGCAAGTTTAGTATGTAACCGCTGCAAGCGCCGCAAGATCAAATGTGACAAGAAGAAACCATGCTCGAGCTGCAAAAAAGTGGACCATCCTTGTGCTTACGAATCAACTTGGGCACCAGAACTCCAAGGTCCCCGGTCCCTCTCCGAGTCGAGTGAATCTCTTAATTTTCAAACGGCGGATAAACAAAAACTCTTGAAGGCAATCAGACCGGAAGAACATTCCAATGACGGCATGCCCGGGAATATGCTTGCAGACGTTCTGCTATCATTTAGCCAATCGACTGAAGAGATGATTTTACTACCGAAAAGAAAGTATGATCAGCTTACATACGCTAAGGAGCATGATGCAACAATTGACGACTTTCAGGCGGTGATAGCACCCATCACAGTCGGGAATCTGGGCCACCAAGCATTCAATGCTAATGTTGGACTTGTTCAAACACCACTTCATGATGATCAGACACCAGGTAATATTTTCTATGAGACCCAGGGTGCTCAACAGGTGAGATTCGAGCCACATGTTACGAAATTGGTAAAGAATGATTTCCTTGGAGTGAACCCTTTTCAGGAATATGGCGAACGTCTCTGTTTACTTGATTCATTCACCCTGGACTATCATGGTAATCCAACACGAATTGACCATAACGGTGCATTCTCGTGGAGGAATTTGCAAAAGAAGGACTTTTGGCTCATGCGCTTGCTAGAGTTCGTGGGGGATGAGACGGTAGCTGAAGAAACGAGAAGAACTTCTTTTGGTAATGCAACCCAAGTGGAAGCGCAAACGAATAGAGCAGGTCTTTACGATGAAGAGGCTGAACAAAAATTGCCTTCGAAACGAATCCCTTCTACATTTCATTCACCACAATCACAGACTCAATCTTGGCTTCAATCAACAGATGCAAATGCCCTCGGATTGATGTTGTATGAAGATGATGTCGAATTTAACATCAGACTAATCCAGCAGTTGCGTCAAATGATTCCAAAAAAGCGAACTGTTTGGCTTCTAGTTCGACGTTACTTTTGTTATCTTTATCCATTTGCACCCTATGTTGATGAGCATGATTTCCGTCAAGTGATATCAAGAATTATCGGTCAAGAAAGCTTCGAAGATCTGGAGGTTGAATTTTGTTTAAAGAGCAAGGTTGATATTATCAACATCAGTGTCTTGTTGGTGATGATACGTTTCAGTTACGTATCTTTATTCTCTAATAGGGTCAGTGCGAACGAGGTGATACTCAATTCAAATGATCCAAAGCTTGAGGAGCTAAGATTCCTTTTCAAGAATCCCGTCAATCTCCATTGCATCGAGTTCGGTCACCGATGTCTTCATCAAATGCTATTTCAAAAAATAACAAATATTCCATTGTTACAACTCACGCTTTTCCTTCGGACATATAGCTATCTTGCGCCAGAGGAAGGCGACGATTGCAACGGATCGAATTCCCAAATCTTCAATAGTTTGCTGGTGCAAATTGCTTACATATTGGGTATCAATAGGGACCCCACTCAGTACCCTGGATCAGTTAACCCAAGGCAAGCTCAATTTATTCGGAAGATGTGGGCTCACCTCAATGTCAGCGACGTCTTCCAAGGGTATCGCTATGGAAATCCAATCTCAACAAATCCATCGTTAGGTGATACAAAGCTACCGTTTCTTGAGGAGAACAATGAGAATATATTTGACAAAGAATTGGATCGTTCTGTCACAAGGGTTCTCAACTTCAGTGACATACTTTCAGGGGGAGCCATGAGGAACCTCATAGATCTCACTCTTGATGTGAAAAGTCCAGTGTCCTTACCTCACTTCACTTCCTTATTGAACCTGATTGAAACAAGCGCTGGGAGTGTATTGGGGAATTTAAGAGACTATTTAAGGCCCCTCGAGATTCAAAAAGCATCTTACTCATATGGAAAGCTTGTGAAGTGCGCTTTGTTGCTATCACTTAACTCATTTTTTCTCACAAATCTGAGCCATTTGGTTGCATATTACAGAGACAAAAATAACGTTTCTTTGTTTTCATACTACTACAAGAAGATGATATTCTTCTCGATTAACGAGATTCTACCGGTCATTCCTACATTCGTCACAAAATTGGAGGAGATTTTTGGTGAGGGGGTGTCAGTGTGGATGAATCCACTCATCATTGATGCGTTATACCGCGTGAATGAGGTCATAATTTCCTCCATTACAGCAAGCAGCAGTTACATACTCAGAGAAAGACAACTACCAAACCACCAAGCCAAGCTCACCGATCCAGAATATTTCACCCATTTTCAAAAACTTTGCAAGCTTGTTGTGCTTCTCGAAAAGCTATCTAAAATATGTCTTGTTGCAGAGTCAATCATGAGTAATAGGTATTACTTCGCTTGGCGGGTGTTCAAAAGCCATCAAAAGCTCATGCATGCGCTGAGTGATGCAAACTTCCACAGATATGCGAGCTCTAAACCATGGGCCGCCGCAGGGCCACACAACTTGAACTCACTCCAGTTGCAAGAGTTAATTGATATTTTGAAGACCAATGTGCACTTTTTGGAGAGACAGATAGCAGAGAATCTGAAAGAATTTTGTGTCGAACAATTTTTAACAAAAAGTTCTAGGGTTGAAGTTCCGTCCATCTTACGGACAGAGCAAGCAGAAAAGGAGAATTTACAGTGCTCAACGACTGGACAATCAACAAATTCAAATGCTTCATCGGCTTTAGGAAAAGAGGAAGTTGCATCATCGATCTCGGAGGATACTTCGTCCGACATCCAAAACATGTTTGAGCTCGATCTATTCATGCTTGATGATTTCGATGTTTTCAATAACGATGAGATCGATCACCTATGGTCCCATATGTCAAACCAAAGGATGCATAAGCAGAATGGCATAGATGATTTCTTGTGGCAAGGCTTCGACGATTTGATTTAGGACAATTTAAACAAGCTTAATGTCACTCTCGCTAGTAGTATCGTAGAAAATGCGCCTTTTCGGACTTATTACGAATTGAGAATTACTCCGAAAGATCTCCGATGGCGCCCTCTAGATAAGGCGCCGCGCGATGTATGACAAATACTGAGGTTGCGAGAAACCAAGTGAAATGGAAACAGAGAAAATGAAGCCTATGAATGCCGACACCAGTCACACACGAAAACGAAATCTGCCGACTGCTTCGAATACTTCAGAAAATGTGAAACGCAGGCGTCCTCGTGGTGTCATCGTCTGCATGAATTGTCGGAAGAGGAAGATCAAATGTGACAAGCAGCGTCCATGCTCAAATTGCACACGTTTCAATCAGGCATCTTCCTGCTCCTATGAACCTCAACGTGATAACGAGAGAAAGGAAGGCTTTTACGAAATCCAATTTCCAATGACAGCTCCTCAAAACCCAGGTTTAGGACGCTCTAAGGTGCAAAACGGAGACGTCGATCAATACCCTGATCCGAATCGCTTCAACGAAAATAATACCAAAGGCCTAGATGAGGCCAGTAAGCCCACTTCAAAGACTCATGGCTCTCAACCATCTGAGATCGAAATCCTTAAAGAGCGGATCCAACAAATCGAACAGTCGCTACAAGCTAGCCGACTGAATTACCCAACTTTTCATCCCAATACTCGCCCATTTTATCATGATCAACGAAGCAGTAATCTGGATCCTTCCACTCATTTCCTATCATCAATTCCTTCCGCAGCTACATCGAATCCGTCATTGATCTCATCCAAACAAGAGCAGAACTCGCCACTGGCAATACCCATTGCGCCTAGATCGCTCAATTCCTTAGAAGATCAACAGATAAATGGACTCCCCACCTTTCCGCCCTTGAGCCATCATTTCAGTGTTCATGATGATGCGATCAGAAAAGGGGAGCACCAACCTGGTATTCAAGGAGCCATCAGACCAGAGACCAGCTACAGGCCAAGTTTAGCAAGTAATGATATCTACCAACAAAGAAGCGAAGTTGAGACCTCACAGCCCAAAGGTCCAGCCCAAGGCAGTATTGGGAGTTTGCCATATTTGATTGGTACAAATTTGTACTCTCAAGAATCAGACACTATAAATTTTTATGAAGGGTACTCTTCTGTTCATTATAAGGACCATTTGAGAAGGCTCAATTTTGGACCCTTCGCTTGGTCATCACTTATGAAGAGAGATGTTGGCTTGAGAACGGTATGGGACTACGTTGTATCTAAAAAGGAAAAGATTCTGAACAAAGGTCACTCTGCTGCTTTGATGTTTGCTCAACCAACCGGTGAGGTCTCGGACGAAAATACTGAGACTTTATTTTCCAGTGGCAAGGATAGTGATCAGCTGGAACAACAATTCCAAAGGCGTGCATTACAAACTGATGGAGTGGATGATATGATGCCCTACAAAACGATTATTCAAGCTAGACAAAACGCCCACAAACAGAAGGCATTGCTCAATAAGCACGCCTTGCCTTTGGGCCTCACTGTTTACGATGGTCGTTTGGACCGTGAACTTCAATTGATTGAAAAGATCGAGGTTGTCTTACCCAAGAAAAGGGTTTTGTGGAAATTGATACACAGGTTTTTCCAGTCAATGTATACTTACATGCCATTTATCGACGAGGACTACTTCCGGCAAGATCTTGAGCGAATCATCGGGCCGCAATCATATGAAGATGTTTCGATCGCCCACATCAAAATCGAGAAAAAACTAGATTTGGCTACTGTGGGTATCTTACTCATAATCTTAAGACTAGCATACCTATCCTTGTTTTCAAACAACAGTTCACTCAACGAGTTCATCCTCAATAATGCTCATCCAAACAAGGAGAATGCGCTTGTCCAGTATTTGATGAAAAATCCCATCAACATTAATACCATTGATGTCGCCAGTCTCTGTCTTGATCAATTTCAGGTTTTGAGGAGGAGCAATTTTACTGTTCTTCAATTAGCATTGTTTTTAAGACTTTATCATACATATGCTCCTGAGGATGGAGACGGTGCAGATGGGGGTGATTCACAAGTCCTCAATTCTGTGCTTATACAGACTGCATTTTCACTTGGCATGAACCGTGAACCCGATGAGCAGTACACCGATCCGAAAATGAATCATTTGATTAGAAAAATTTGGATCTTTTTGGTGGCGTCGGACCTTCATTTAAGCTATTCATTTGGAAATCCGATTACCATTGATGATATGCACTATGATATAAAACCTCCCGTTTGTGACCCGGGTAGTGAAAATCTTCGTGACAAAGGCAAGGACAGGGCTAGCACAAATCGATTGAACTGGTGCCTCAAACTCAGTCCTAAATTGCGAAACCTTCTTCAGTGTGCCCTTAACATCAAAGGTAGGACAGCTTTACCTAAACTTTGCGAAGATATCTCAGAGTTTGAGCTATACGTACACAATGATATTGGTTCCATAAATGACTTCATTGTGTGCACAGGGATGGACGAGCTAGCAGTAGCCAACAGAAACATGAAAGTCAAGGTTTATCTTGCTCTCAAGTCATTCTTGATTTCGATATTTTTCCATCTTTATCTTCATTATGAGGAAGATAATATCGATGTGTCGTTCTTCTATTTAAAAAAGAGTCTCCTCACAACTATTGGAGATATCATGCCTCATTATGTAACACTTTTGGGAGAAAGTGAAGTAATAAGTGACATGATCATTAATCCAACCCTTGAAATGACAATTCACAAATCAAATCAGATCAATCTTTCGATCATTGTGAGGGTCAACTTTCTCATATTTCATCTCAAACAATCCAAAGACCACGAAAGATTATGCAAAGTTGACAGCTCGTATTTTACCTATTTTCAGTTATTGTGTCAGTTGTCATCGGCAGTAACAAGGGCTGCCGAGTTTACAATTTCAGCAATTAGTAAGTTGAGTAACCGTTACTATTATGCCTGGAGAATTACGCGAGGACAAACTTATCTCTTGAAGACCATTACTTTGACCCAATTTTATGAGGACAACTATCATAAAGCATCTCGAATCTATTCCACTCGTTATAAACCTGAACAGATCAGAGAGTTGATAGGCATTTGTGAAAAGACCTTGTCCGATTTTTCGCATACCGAATTCTGTACCTACGGGTTTGCCAAACACATGAAGGAAGATCTATACCGATGCAATGAAATGCCGACAGGCAGTGTATCTACAAGCATAACTACCCCAATGAATACGCCTGACAAGACTTCTACAAATGCAGAAATTGACAAAATATGGTTACAAGTTTTATCCATCAAACACAATACAAGTTTGACTGGAAATTTGCAAGACACTCCGTTGACCTCGAAGACGCCACTTCCACTACCATTGGATTTGGGTGATATGACTAGTCAGACGCACAAGACCAACGGGTCTAATCCGATTGATAGTTTGCACGAGGTGGACAGGACCGGATACGATATGGAAATGGCAAACCGTTTTGACATTTTTAGTGAAATGCCTTTTGAGGATATGTTAGATCTTTAAAACTCGCGCTACGCTATGCTGATCGCATCTCGTTTCGCGCATGAAAAGAACTTCACTCTATAGTCCGAAATCAGAATGTCCTCACCAGAAACACAATGCAAACGCTTGAAACCGGAGATACCTGAGGGAATATCGAAGAATGCTTGGAAAAAGATGCAGAAGAGGAAGCGATGGGAGGATCTGAAGGAGGATTGGAAAGTAAAACGCAGGGAGAAAAAGCTAGCTGCCAGGCGACGCAAGGCAGAAAAGAAATTGATTGCCGGAGATGAGAAGAGCGATGAACAAGCGCCTACAAAGAAACCCCTACCACAAAGCCAAGAACCCACGCATGTCGAGGTAGTCATGGACTGTGACTTTGATGATCTTATGAGTGACAAGGAGATCGTATCATTGAGTAACCAGATTACAAGGTGCTACTCAGCCATGAGGCATTCAACTCACGAGGTCCCTCTAACAATTACTTCTTTCAACAAACGTTTGAGAGAACGTTTTGAGAATACGCTACCAGATCATTCGAAATGGAAGAACATCAAATTCGAGGGGGATGCGTCCTTAAGTGAGTTTATTTCAAAAAAGGGCTACGAACCTTCAAAAGTCACATACCTTACTGCAGATACAGAGAACGAACTAGAAGAGTTGTCGGTTGGCGAAACTTACATCATTGGTGGTATCGTAGATAAAAATCGCCACAAGAAGCTCTGCTTAGACAAGGCAAACGACCTTGGTCTCAAAGTCGCCAGGCTACCCATTGGAAAATTCATCAAGATGAACGGGAGACAGGTTTTGGCTACGTCGCATGTCTATGAGATCATGTGCATGTGGTTTGAGCAACAGAAGGACTGGGAAAAGGCTTTCAATACTGTTCTCCCTCCTCGAAAATTACACAATCAGAATGAAGCGACAGCTGAAGCCGATAGCGACGCTCAAGGCGCATAGGCTTCAAAAGACAAGGCCTTTCTTGCAATTCATGTGCGGGCACTACAAGCCCCCTCGCGTGATATGAAGACTAAGCATCAGCCAGACTTTCGGCGTGCAAAATATAGAATTGGGTTGGAAATGAAAATTTAGAAGCACAAATCTGAAAAGCACTCTTCAGTAGACCAGGTGGAGAATAATCGACAAACAGTTTCAAATGCACTCTTCTCGATAAGATTTCAAATCTTGCGACGTACTTAGATTACTAGCCGTGTCTCGATGATTGTAGAATGTTTCTCCATTCACCCAATTTTCGTATTAACTTTATTCGAGTGATTTGGTATATTCCATTTGTTACAGAATGTTATTGTTTCTAAATCACACTTCGCGCTGCCAGGCTGAGCGCCCTACCTCCTGACGGTACGCGGCCTTACGGTCGTCGGATTACACCCGTGCCTTTTTGACACCTCCCTTGATTGAGTGGAAATCCAGGAAAAAAAAAGAATCAACAGAAACTCTCTGACTACGCAACATAAATTTGATCGTCCACTTTCATAAACGATAGATTTAATTGCTCCGTTAGACTTATTCCTTGCCGTTTACACAATCTTTCACTGACCTGAATCAAAAGGCAACGCTAACTTTCAAAAAAACCAACAAGCATAACAAGTACGTACCCTTCCACTTTGACGATAATAGCACGATTCCAAGCTAATGTGTTACTTTTTATTGCTGATCATCTCTACTATGATGATCACTGCATTATATTTTAATCAATTTACTAACTAAAGGAATGGTTCCACCTCCAGCTGAATTTCGCAGAAAGCTAGTCATTGTCGGTGACGGTGCCTGTGGTAAGACCTGTCTCTTGATCGTTTTCTCCAAAGGAACTTTCCCAGAGGTTTACGTGCCTACTGTTTTTGAGAACTATGTTGCTGATGTTGAAGTTGATGGAAGAAAGGTCGAGTTGGCTCTCTGGGATACCGCCGGCCAAGAAGATTACGACAGATTGAGACCTTTGTCGTACCCCGACTCGAATGTTATTTTGATTTGCTTTTCTATTGACTCACCTGACTCGTTGGACAACGTTTTGGAGAAATGGATCTCCGAGGTTTTGCACTTTTGCCAGGGTGTCCCCATCATTTTGGTGGGATGTAAGGTTGATTTGAGAAACGATCCCGTCACAATCAAGCAGTTGTCACAAGAGAATCAACAGCCTGTCTCTACCTCGGAGGGTCAAGCAGTGGCTCAAAAGATCGGCACTCAATACTACTTGGAGTGTTCTGCAAGAACTGGTCAGGGCGTAAGGGAGGTATTTGAGACTGCCACCAGAGCCTCATTGCTGACTAGAGAGAAGAAGGAGAAGAGGAAGAAGTGTGTGGTCTTGTAAGTCATTTTGCTCACGCTTTCACATCGACATCTTCAATGAAGCATTTTTGATTGTAAGGAATGTTCCTAGCCATTTAGATTACTTTAAACCAAGCTAGGTCCATCTGATTGTTTTTCTGGTCGTTTTGAATAAATGAATAGTTCGATCTTGACTTCCGTAAGCTGTGTTATGTACAGGATTTGCATATAACCAATGATATTAACCAATTTTTTCTTACTGAGACGACTCTTGTACTTCATTTACTTGACATACACAAACAACATGCTATCTAGATTGTCAAGGAGGGCGTTTACGACATCAGTCCCAAAGCTTCAGACGTTGGCTACCCCAGTTACAAAAAGTACCGTCACTGGCCTTTCCAAGGAAGAGTTGCAAAGAAATCCTAATGCAGCTCAAGCACCAAACGAAGTAAAACCATGGACTCCAAGCCAGCAGCCAAGAGATGAAGCTATTTCAAAAAATGCAGTAAGGTTTGTTCAGAGAGACTTAGCTGAACAACCTCAACCTTACGCTGCTATTGATTTGATAGCTCAAGAGCCTATCAGATACATTGCTCATGATAACATCGCTGTATGCGACGGCAATAAAGGCTCTACTTTACAAGGTCATCCTAAGGTTTTCATCAACTTGGACCAACCTAAGGCTTCGACCTGTGGCTATTGCGGCTTGAGGTATGCAAAGGAGGAACATAGAGATATCATTGAAGGGAAAGAAACATAATCCAATCATTGATCAATGTTGTGAGAGTCGTCACATTTCTTAGTACTTAACAATACATTAGCTCATTTGCATTGGAATCATGTCAACTGTGAATCCACTCCCTTTATTTCTCTGCTCTTATTATACATAACTTTGACTGCAGCATTACTGCCCAAAAACAGTCAGCACTGACCTAGAAAGATTATTTTCCATGCCCTCCGATACTTGTGATTACGGTGTGTTACCCTTGGTTCACCTTGTCTTGTTCCGCGGAAAAGGCGCCCTTAACAGTCCTCCCGCACGACATAACGTTTCACTCCCTACAACAGTCCTAATATGAGTTCGTCCATCAAGCGTTACGCCATAGAAATATTTTCAGGAATTTTACATGGGCTACGATACTCGCATCATCATTTGGTCCACTCCTACATTATCATTCCCATTGGTATCGTCATCCTATTCACAATCCTCTATGGGTTTAATGTCCTTCTTTCTGACATCTTCAAGATTGAGTTCCCGGCGTCGGTCTTGGGGATGTTGATCAACTTGATCTTTTTGTGTATCCTTGACTATCTTGCATCTTTTCGGGACGCAGATGCCTCTTCGAAGCTGCACTGGCTGATCCTGGTAGGTGAGGTATCATCCTGGGTATTGGAAAAGTACTTGATGATAATTCAGCCAAGCATGAACTTCTCCCTCAAATGGATTAATGTATTTTTCATTCCATCGTTCGTGATCCTTCCATTGAGTGACCATATTACTTTCATAGAGTGCTTGAAGATTGCCGCAGTATTTCTTGTAGGCGGTGTTGCACTTATGTTGTTTGATGTCTATTCTATCTTCTTGTTGAAGAAGATACTCCACGCGTGTCATCTTGGACATTTTGATAACGAGAAAGTCTTGAACGACGGCTCTCAGAGTCCCGACTCAACGAAGCTTGATAAAGAAAAAGATTCCGATGAGAGGGACATTTTCTCGGATTCTAGGTCCTATATATCAGCAAGAGTTGATATCACCACAATTGATGTCTCAAACCTTAGATCTACAAGAACAGCGCCAGAATCCAAGCTTCAGAATTCTGATGTTTCGGACAACCCTTTCATGAACACGATTGCGGAACCAAACAACCTACAAAGAAGTCTGACAACTCCTCAAAGCTTCTCTCCTGATAAGCAATCCTCCTCTGATATCACGTCCAGAGATAATATCTTCTCTGCCACGGAAACTCCGCCAGAAGCCTCGGACGAAGATCCCCTCGCTCACCTTTCGGATCTTTCCAAGAAGGTCACTTTATTCGTGACTAATTACATTGACTGGTTTTTATTTATTGTCCTTTTCATTATTTCCTTGCCACTTTATTACTCAAGGAGTCTACATGTGATGCTCTTCTATCATCTAAGCATCACAGTCTTGTCATTTTATCTTGCTTTGCTAGTACCCGTTAAAATACCACAGCTCAAGAAGTTTGCACACCCCATTTTGATATCAACAGCAGAAATATTATTCGTCTGCTTCATTGGATCCATCATATATCATAACGGGTCACCCAAAGGATTTTTAGATGATCTCAAGTACTACAAAACCGGGAAGACTTATCTACGTCTTTTCAACGGTAAGAGAATGTACAGTAACGGCGAATATAACACTAGCCTTGAAGAAAACTTCACAGCCGTTCCTCTTTGGCCTGGCTGTGGGGATATTCTATCATCGTTGATGGATGTTTCGATCGTTTCCCTATCTTTGCCAATGTTCACACACAAGAGAGATTTTATTCGCAACTTTTGGATCTTAATGCCAACCATCCTAGCCTCAATGGCCCTTACTTTTTTCTGTTATCCGCTCGTTAGCTATCATATTGGGATAAATCCTGAACGATCTATTGGATTCATCGGGCGACTGGTAACTTTGGCGCTAGGAACACCGCTCATAACGGCATTGGGCGGTTCTATCTCCTTAATGGCTGTTTGCACCATCCTAAGTGGTATTCTTGGAGTCTTAATTGGTGACCCGTTTTTCAGCTTGTTAAAGGTGTCTCCGGAGGACTACTTAACGAGAGGCGTCACTTTGGGAATTAACTGCGGGGCGATTGCGACGGCACATCTCTTGAATGTTGATCCGCGTGCTGCATCGATGAGCTCCTTGAGTTTTAGCATTTTTGGAACCATTATGATTATACTCGCTAGTGTGAATGCAATTCGTGAGCTAATACGAGCTTGGGTGGGCCTATAGCTATTGCGTTTGTACGCGTACCTCAGCGCGCACAGTAGTCACTAGTTACATTTTAATATACCTTCAACCAGCCAGTAAATGAATAACGAGGAAAACAAAATTCTAATTGTGCCCCAAGATATAAGTGTGGCGGACATATTTGCGATCAAATCTGGAGGTAGAACAAGAAGCATTTTAGCGGCTGATGAGGGGGTTTTCGAAGTGGTGAATATCGTTGGCAGCAGCCCTTATGATTCAGTGCCAGCTCCTCAGACACCGTTTTCAGAACCTGTCAAATCTATTCTCCTTAGGATAGACAACCACCAAGGAGCTGTCTCACAAGACCCCCGAGTTTTGGTCGCTACAAGATTTAACATGACTTATTTCTTTGCTGGCATCTTCAATAGTCAAAACACTTTCTCATCTCGTTTTCAAGACGCGTCAGATTTGAAGGATCAACTTTTAGATCTAGATGTGATAAGCGGCTGGAATGACAAGATCGAGAGTGAATATAACCGTTCTTTAAACATCTTGTGTGAAACAATTGTGGAAGGTGACCAAACTTTTTATAAGTATTCAAAAGACAAATTACGTCTATTTTTGAAGGAAAAAATCGAAAAGCTTGCGGCATATATCATTGCAAAGAAAAGTTTGAGCTTATATAAGGCGATCCGATCGTCTCTAATCTCACAGGAGGAACCACCACAAAATATACTCGAGGCGC